AATAATTAGTTAACCAAAAACTTATATTTAAAAACACTTAAAAATTGTGAAACAAAATATTTCCTTTATCGAAATGTGTAAAAACCTAAAAATTTGTAAAAGAAAAAAATTGTAACTAGTTGGTTTGGTATTTAGCCTTCGTTAGGCCGTAATATTACAGTAAGTTCTTAAGACCATGAATATCCCAAAAAAATGTGTAAATAATCAACTTAATTAAAAAAACGGTCGGTAGATTTTCACCTAAAATTAATAAGTACCATTCCCAACTAATATCTTTCAAACAGTTTTGATATTTTAAAATCGGTTCGGTAGGATGAGCGTCGACTTAACATTTTTTTTCAACAGTTAATTACAAGAAAACGGCTCGGTAGATTTTCACCTAAAATTAATCAGTACCATTCCCAACTAATATCTTTCAAACAGTTTTTGATATTTTAAAATCGGTTCGGTAGGATGAGCTTAAATGTCGACGAAAATTTAACACTTTTTTTCAACAGTTAATTACAAGAAAACGGCTCGGTAGATTTTCACCTAAAATTAATCAGTACCATTCCCAACTAATATCTTTCGAACAGTTTTTGATATTTTAAAATCGGTTCGGTAGGATGAGCTTAAATGTCGACGAAAATTTAACACTTTTTTTCAACAGTTAATTACAAGAAAACGGCTCGGTAGATTTTCACCTAAAATTAATCAGTATCATTCCCAACTAATATCTTTCGAACAGTTTTTGATATTTTAAAATCGGTTCGGTAGGATGAGCTTAAATGTCGACGAAAATTTAACACTTTTTTTCAACAGTTAATTACAAGAAAACGGCTCGGTAGATTTTCACCTAAAATTAATCAGTACCATTCCCAACTAATATCTTTCGAACAGTTTTTGATATTTTAAAATCGGTTCGGTAGGATGAGCTTAAATGTCGACGAAAATTTAACACTTTTTTTCAACAGTTAATTACAAGAAAACGGCTCGGTAGATTTTCACCTAAAATTAATCAGTATCATTCCCAACTAATATCTTTCGAACAGTTTTTGATATTTTAAAATCGGTTCGGTAGGATGAGCTTAAATGTCGACGAAAATTTAACACTTTTTTTCAACAGTTAATTACAAGAAAACGGCTCGGTAGATTTTCACCTAAAATTAATCAGTACCATTCCCAACTAATATCTTTCGAACAGTTTTTGATATTTTAAAATCGGTTCGGTAGGATGAGCTTAAATGTCGACGAAAATTTAACACTTTTTTTCAACAGTTAATTACAAGAAAACGGCTCGGTAGATTTTCACCTAAAATTAATCAGTATCATTCCCAACTAATATCTTTCGAACAGTTTTTGATTTTTTAAAATCGTTCGGTAGGATGAGCTTAAATGTGGACGAAAAGTTTTTTTCAAATCACAAAGAAACGGCTTGGCAGATCGTTGCACAAAACTGACAAACGATAGTCCTCCACGAAATACATCAAATGGCTTTTAAATTTCTAAAATCGGTTCAGGCGTTTTTGAGAAAACGTCGATCAAAAGTCTAATTTTGACAAATGCCAAAAGACCATACTGATTTTTGCAAACTTTGACGAATTTTTAAAGCTGAACCAGTTGTCGTAGGGCCGTAATATTTTAGTATGATCTAGAAGACTATGGTATCTATCGTCAAAAAAATAATCATAAAAATCGTCGAAATTTTTTTTTTAAAAACTTTATTACAAGAAAACGGCTCGGCCGATCTCTACCAAAAACTAATCAGCACGATTCCCAACCAATATCTTTCGAACGGTTTTTGAATTTTCAAAATCGATTCAGAATTGCGGGCTAAAACGTAGACGAAAAATTTTTCACTTTTCTGCCATTTATGAAGAAACGGCTTGGCCGATCGTCGCACAAAACAGACAAACAATAGTTCTCGTCGAGATACATCGAATGGCTTTTAAATTTTTGAAATCGACCCAGCCGTTTTCGAGAAAACGTCGATTTACGGCAAGAAATCTGTTCACATACACACACACACACACACACACACACACACACACACACACATACTTTTTCCAAATTTGGTCTCATTCGATTCAGAATGGCTTGAAACGTCGAGAAAACATAAAATTAGCGAATCGGGTTTTTTGATGAAAACATAAACTTCTCCTTCGGGAAGTTAAAAATATTTAACAATAATAATAAAAATGATAATGATAATATTAATAATAATAATAATTATAATAATATAAGATACTCAAATTTGTTAAAATATCATAAAATAACCTAAAATTTGTTAATATTGTAAAAGTATGTATTGTAAAGCTTATTAAAATTACTTATTAAATTTTTAAAAAACACTTGTAACAAACAAACTAGTTATATTAAAAAAAAAATTATAATTAAGTAAATATAAATAGGTTTATAGTAAATAAATTAAGTAATTAAATAGCTAATAATTAATTAAATTATATTAAACCTATAAAATATTGACTTAAGCCTTATTATAATATTAAATATTATACCGACGGCTTGTAAAATTAATAAATAAATAAATAAATAAATATATATATATATGTGTGTGTGTGTGTATGTATATATACACACCTATTCCCCGCTTTACATGAAAGATAAGTTCCATAAAAAAACGGTGTAACTCAAAAAATGCACTTTTATATGGAAAAATCGTTCTAAACAAAAATTACTAAAAAGGCCCTTTTTGGTAGTTTTTGGTGAGTAACAAACATATTGAACAAAAAATGAATATCAATATATACTCTCTAGTTTTTTATTTTATCGTTTGCTATTGTCGAACTAAAAAATTTTTTATAAATCATACATTTTGTGAAAAAATAATTTTGTTATTTGCTCACCTCGAATGAATTTACACTACCAATTATAAATAAACAGTAATTAAAAACAAAGTTTAAAACAGTTATGCTCTTCGTTTTGGTATTTTAAACAATCTAACTAATACATACATTCAATTTAGTTTTGATCATAAAACGGGGAGTTTCCATCTTATCTAAATATTTCCATGATAGATATAGACTCTGTACAAATAATTTACTACAAATGTAGTGTTGTGTTTTGACAGTAAAACAATGAGAATGTTATTGTAGATATAAGCGAATTATAGTTTAGTGTTTATGATTTCGTGTAAATGCAAAATTAATAAATTTTGTTAAAAAAATATTTTCAAAATCCATGTAAGATCGAAAACGTGTAAAACGAATACCGTTTAAAATGGCGGATATAAACATATATATCAATAAAATAAATAACACAGATACAGATATTATATATATATATATATATATATATATATATAAGGGTGATCCTCAATATGAACATTTTCGAATTTCCTTGCACCCAATGATTCCAAATTGATAAAAAACAATTCTATGAAAGTTTTAGCTCTTAATATTAACTTTTAGATAGAGCGCAATTCAATCAAACTTCGTATGGAAATAGCATGAAAAAAAATTTGAAAATTGAAAAAAAAAATTTATAGGTATAACTTTGCGACAAATGAATTAAAAGTGATAATTTGTGTCATTTTTTATTCCAAATTCGACGCTCTGCAAAATTTTTGAAAATGTTTAATGCTATTTCCATACAAAATTTTGATTGAATTGCGCTCTATCTAAAAGACAATATCAAGAGTTAAAACTTTAAGAAAATTGTTTTTTATCAATTTGGAACCATTTGAGCCCTGGGAGCAAAGAAATTCGAAAATGTCCATATTAAGGACCACCCTATATATATATATATATATATATATATATATATATATATGTATGTATTTGTGTGTGTGGTAATATAGTTATTCGCCGGCGGTATGACGAATGTGAAACCGTCTGCAAGTTAGTAATACATGCCAGCCTGATGAATACACACATCTTTTCTATATACAAAAGCGCTGAAACGTTCAAATGGCTGTGATACACACAGCACAACAGTACAAGTTCGTGCTCCAGGCAGATAGCATGCTCGCATATAGTTTGTTATTTGCTATTAATCGAATTATTATGTACCGTTCATTCAGATAAAATAATCGATTTTATGTAGAGAAATAAGAAACAAATATGTGCAGTGTACTTTGGCTAAATAACAGATTTGAACAACCAAGAGAATACGCTATCTGGGAAAAAAATCATACTGAATTTCTACAAATTGTTACGATATTCTGTTATACAGTATGAAATATACAAAGTGATCGAATTCTTTTTAACTACAAACAGTGAAGATTATTAGAACATGAAATTAATTCAAATGACCTGTAAACAATTCTCAAGAATTGGGGCACGAAAATACTAAGGCGAGTAGCCGGGCTCTAAATTTTACAAAGAAAATGACGATTAATGACTGATTTTTCGAGTTGATATATCCAGCTGTGATTACCGAGAGGCCGATTGTTTAATATTGTGAAAAGTGAGATTTTGTAATAAAAAACTGTGGATTACAATAGACAACGTGCTGTGAAGTAATTAATTACAAAAGTATAGGAATTAAATCATTCACTGTGTATTGTTACAATAGCTGTATTGTGATAATCGACAGTGTGAATATTTGCTGAGTGAGCTTGACTCAAAAGTCTTTTGTTTTTGTGTAAACTTATTACATTTTTATAGTAATACAAACAATATAAAAAATTTAAATTAAAATTGTGAAAAATGTCAAACGTTTGCAATCAAACAAAAAGAACGACACCATGTCGTAGAGTTTTTAATTCTGAAATAATTCGAGTCGTACGCGACCTGATTTCAAAATCACATAACGTGCGCATAGTGTGTAACTCTTAAATGCTTTATTTGTTATAGAAGCACATTTTCTTATAACAAATAAGTATTTTGTATCGTTGCTAATACTGGAAGTAAATTATTCAAAAATAATCACTTAAATAAAATGAAGTTCTATAGGAAGAAATAACATTCAATACAGTTAATAAACGATCACTTGCACTATGTTAAATGTAACTGTTACAACGAAGAACGTGAAATTTGTAAAAATGAATTTCATATGAAATTATGGGCGATCTGGATTTTATACTTATAATTTTACTGGTGGCATCATTTGCTGCTAACTTTCTGGCGTTATCTGCGTTTACGACAAGCCACAGCCTACGAAGTACCGCGAATAGATTCGTTATAAACATGATCATCGCAAATTTAGCCATTTGCACACTTTTATTGCCGTGTGCGGTTTTTAACAAGATAGATGACTCAAACTCGAGCAATATGGAAGCTGTGAATAGATCTGAGACGGGTTTGTACGCGTACGATGTGCTGACGACAAATCTCTTACAATGGGGTAGTGATGTGTCAGCCAGTTGGGGCAGTTTCGCCGTACTTCTAGTGGTGACTGATACCTGGTGCGCCGTCACGGATCCACTTAGGTACCATAGTCGCGTCAATGCACCGCGCGCCTTCTGCGCCATAGTATCGGGCTGGGTCGTATCTGCAGTGTGGGCAGGATTATCTTGTGCTTCGCTAATTTTGCAAAATGCAATATTCACAGTTTCATATTGCATAACATATACATGTATTGTAGTATTTCTGCCATTTATTTTACTAAGTGCTATGTATTGGAGAATATTCTGCGAAGCGCGCAATAATGGAATGCGCATGAGAAGAAACGGCTCCTCACCTTTGCTCCAGAGCGCGCTCAATTTGTCTCCAGAAAATGTTGAAAAATCATACTGTATGAAAGCATTTTTGATTCATCCTGCGCCCATTCTGAACAAAGACGGCATACGAAAAAATAATAGTTGTAAAGATTTAACAATGATTAATAACGAGACGCGGAAGAAGTTATTGAGGCACTCGCGATCTACACCCGATCTGAGGAGCAATTCGATGCCAGGAAGGGAAACAAATGAATTTATGAGTAATTTGTCTCCGTTGATTGTTGGCCATCGGAGTACAAATCAAGTAAGCTGCATGACAAACTTAAGGCACCGGTTATCGAATGCTTCGTCAGTTTTTCGAGACAGAGAAGAAAGCAGAGCAGCACGCATAAGTATACTAGTTGTCTTTATGTTCTTGGGAACTTACGTACCGCATGCCGCTTTGACATTGATAAGGGCAGGATGTGGTAAATTTGATAAAATTGTTCCGCCACTGAGTTCTCGATATTCTGCATGTTTCATCCTTCTTGCATCTTTGGCGTCTCCGATTTTATTCGCTTACAGAAATAGAAAAGTCAGGAGAGGTGTTCGAGTGCTGCTAGGTGTAGATTCCAAAACTAATGCCAATCGAAAAGCTAACAATTACAAAATAACAAGTAGCAGAGTATCCAACAGCTCTAATTATAGCAAATTCTTGGTCCCACCTTTGCAAATGTGCGGGATGGATACTCATGTACATGATTATGCAAAACCAAAAAGATCTATAATTAAAAAAATTTGTTTTTCTTCGAAAAATCTGGGAAGCAAATGCGCGGATGTCGAATCCTGCTGACAAGATCTCATCTAGTTATTTGAAGATAAACCAAAGCTTTTCATATTATTAAATCAGAACAACCAATAAAAACATTAGAAAATAGTAGTTTTGACATTCGTTATAAAAAGTGGGTGCAAACACACACGTACAATCGCATACACACACGCATATATATATATATATATATATATATATATATATATATATATTATATAAACGAGCCCCGCCTCATATATTATATATTTGTACATTCTATAAACCCATGTGTATTAGAATGATATATGTATTATTCAAACGCATTCATCAGTGTGTATAATCAACGATTCATGTGGTTTATTCATAATTCATGACGGAAAGTGGTATAAAATAATCTCTTAAGATGGAATATTATAATTTAGTATTTTAGCACAATTTACTGTTGATGTTATTCTTTACAGAGATCATTTTAGACAATTTTTCGTTATATTATACTTGTCAAGTGCCAAATATAGAACGTATAATATAATATAATAGAGTATGTATTTATTTTTTGCGATAAGCAAAACGGAAGTCTTTAGATTTATAATGTAAAATGCGAGAATGTGTGATATAAAAATGATTTTATATGATCGAATACCGGTAATGATGATGTATGGTGTGACAATATATCCTAATTAACATTGTGATTATATTCATTAAAAACATATATTTATTAGTAGTTAAACGAACAGTGTTGTATTATGATGTATATTATAAGAGACCACGTAAATTTTATAATTTCATAAGTCTGACTTTGTATTTAGACATTATATGCGCAACAAAAATATTTATATTTATTTGCAAATAAATGTAAGAAATATATCTAGTTTACTAAATTAATGTTCTACTATTGAGTTTTTATTTTATTTATTTTATGCTCGTACTTTGAAAACTCTGTCCCTCAATTGGTAAAAATGTAATTAGAAAAAGTGATTAATACAATAGCTTTTTAAACCCTATTTAAAAATAATTTTGAAATTATATAATTACATACAATTAAAATGCCAGTGCAATTGAAGTGCTATTTTTTAAATTTGAATTTGTGTTACATTTCAAAACATTTAGAAATTAGTTGAATAGTTGAAATACATGCAAAATGAAGAAAAATATATCATGCTGAACATACTAATGGTAAAAATACATGTTTTATCACATAGGCACCGATAATAAATTTGTGGATACCAAATGTCAGAGAGAGCAATCAAATCTCTTGCAAACTAAAATTTTTTTTGTCTTTACATCATCTAAAAGTGTCATTTATATCATCAATCATTCATTCATTGCTAGCCCTGACAGTTTAGTATAAATAAAATTTTATATTGATATTTTCTTAACCGTCACTCTAAACATTCTACTTAATTTACGTATTTAACAGTACTTGTTAAATACGTAAGAGTCAGTAGAGTTCATTTCGGACAAAAATCGAAACTAGATCATTTATATTTTATTTACGTTTCAAGGTTTCTGACGATTCTCCGTTAATGACTTTAAAAACATATGCAACAACATATACGTGTAATACTATATGTGTTCGGATTTAACTTTTAGCATGTGTTTCCAAAACATATGAATCATATTGGAAAATCAAAAATTCATTTGGTACGGTTGAATAATGTTTGTGTATTTTGCCTTCTTCAGTATTCTTAAAACTTTAAGCCACCTTATTTAGTAACCACTAACTTTATCCTATTGTAAGTCATTGCTTTATTTATCTAGATATTGCAATCTTAATTTCCATTTCATAGTTATGTCCGTTGAAAATTCCGTAAATGAAAAAACTATTAGAGCTAAAAAGTAATGTTTAACAAAAGTGCGAAATCGTAGATCTTAAATAAAATAAAAAATTGAATTCAAAGTCAAAAACATTTTTCCATTCAAAATATTCCGTCTCAAACTATCTCCTTAAAGTGAAGTTAATTGAGACATATCTAAAACTTTCTTATAATGGCGTAGTTGTGATGCAGTAAAAATTTACAAAAATGTGAAATGAAACAACCATTGATTTTTCTCCACAAAATGTCTAAGGGAAAGGGAAACACTTCACTCACATGAAGGCATTTAAACAAAGGTTAGCTAGGTACAATATATGAAATATATGAAAAACAGCGTACCTAAATAGATACGTGCAAAAAAGGCTGTCATATGTATTTGTTGTCAAATATTTATTTATGCGTGCGTTCATAAATATATTTTGTATAAACTAACGCAAGTCTAACAAGTTACTTAAATATAGAACAAATGCCAAATGCACACTTTATTTGGAGTATGATCGTCATCGATGGCCATTCGCCAAAATTTAATGTGGCTTTTGGTCATGAGCGTGTTGCTTTCCAAGAGTTCTTATTTTATTGAATACTTGCTTTCCTGAACGGAATTTAAATTAATAGTCTGCACTAGTTATAATTATAGAGTAACTTTAATTAATCATACAAATACATTATCCTCATTCAAAATGATTATGATGCCATATTCATATGACTTAAGATTTGTATGAGCTTTAATGCTTCTTACAAGTCGTTAGTACTGTTGACGTATATTTTTTTCAATTTATAATTTATTGAAAAGACATTTATATTTAGTTATATTACGTAGGTATATCTTTTAAATATATTTTATATAATCATTGAGAATATTTTGTGATATTTAATTAAAATAAAAATTCACTACCCCGCATGCTTACTTACAAAATATTTATTATATAAATACAATAATCGTTGTGATGTTATATTTTTGCTTCATTATCCATAAAAATAGCGTTGATTCTCCATTTTCACAAGTCATATTTATTACTATGTTACTTTCAGTGAGACATAAATTAGATTTTTGTCGTTAATAAAAAAAAATTGCATAAATTTTGCATGAAAAATAAATTTGCCGCATAAGTTTAGTGTAAAGCAGTGATTTCCAACCTGTGGGGCGCGCCCCCCTGGGGGGGCGCCATACCTTTCCAGGGGGGGCGCGAAGCTGTTTCAAAAACATTATTTTTAAATGCTGAGTAAGTGTCAAAAACAAATCAGCAAAATACTTAAAGTACTTCTAAGAGTGTTTGAGTTCAAAAAAGAAATTGCTATGTTTCTTGCTGATAACAAAAGAGACGGAGCAATCTTGTTTTAGGACACAAACTTCCTCGCAAAATTTGCGTATTCAGTTGATATTTTTCAAAGACTTAGCGATTTAATTAAATCAATGCAAGGATCTCAAATTCGTGCTTTTGTTCAGAAAGACAAGATTACGGGTTTAATGAAAAAATTAGAACTGTGTATAGCTAGTATCAAATAACTTTATAACTTTAACATGTTTCCCACTTTTAAAATTACTTGTGTTACTGATGAAATAGAAGTAAGTAAAGATCTTATTATTATATCAGTCATATGACTAGTCTGCGAAACCAATTTTCGCATTACTTAAAACATCTAATTACGTCCAAATACGAATGGATTAGAAATCCATTTGTCATTGAGAAACATGGTGATTTTGGTCATTCAACAGCAGAGCAGAAAATGATAATTGATTTATCTAGTGATAGCACATTGAAGCAGATTTTTCAGGACGAAAATATATTGTTAAGTTTTGGTTACCAGTAAAGAACGATTTTCCTACTTTGACAAATAATGCTTTAGAAATTTTATTACCATTTGTGAGATCTTACTTATGTGAAACAGAAAATTCTTATAATTTATAGTTATGTTTGTATGCATATTTTTTATAATACTGTGTATTATTTGGCATAATTTCAGTTATATTAAGTATATTTATATTAAATTGTTAGAAAAATAAGGGGGGGGGCGCAATATTTTTTTCTTTCGAAAGGGGGGCGCAAGGAAAAAAAGGTTGGAAACCGCTGGTGTAAAGTTTTTATATCAGAATACCTCGTAGAAGCCTTGTTGAAAGTGTAAGTTTAATGAATTATAAAAACTCCTGTACCGAAAAATTACCATTACTTGCTATTTTATACAACAAGAAATTGAAAGTATTTTAGTCAGAAAAAAATTTTTGAGCCATTTCGCGCTTCTTTTTGAAATATCTATATTATATACATATCCCGAAAAGTTAAATAACTAGGAATTTTATATAGAAACCCTTTTCACTATATTCATAATAAAAATAACAAAACAACCTTGTTACCATAATTCATTATCTCAATATTTGCAATTTTTCTTCAACTGTTTTTAATTCCCTGTAATAATGATTTTTCAACTATTATATAATTAACAATTTATAGTAATTATTATTATAATTTAAGCATTTTTCGAATAACAAAATTGAACAATTAATCGTAATTAGTCAAAATCGTAAGTGACTACGTATGAATTACGTATTATAAACAACCGAGCAATTTTTGAAGTTTAGATATGATTCTTACAAACAATTATGTCGCAGACAAATCTACTTGGCATTATATGTCAATGCTATATTGCATTGAATTTTGAGGTATCAGTTTCAGAAATCTTATCAATTATCACTAATTTGATTTATATATATTTCAACAGCAATCAGGACTACGTGTTCTCTAACCAATTATCACTAATAATACAACTGTTTGAACATAACCACTATAAAAGCGTTTCCTGCAGATTATTCCAAATTATAATGTATTGAATAATAATGTAATGAATACATTATAATGAATTCAATGAAATGACGTATTCCGCACTATTATCGTTTTAATCTTTAGAAGAGTTTAAGTTCGAATTATGAAGAATTTCCCATAGTAAATTTTCTATTACCATAGTAATAAATATCGATTCTCATTTATACACAACGTCATAATTTACGAATATAAAGACAACTTTCAGAAACTTTTAATGCAGTCTTTGTTTGAGAAGGTTCTCACAAATTAAAAAAAAACTTAAAATTAAAATATTATTGAATTATTTATTCATCATAATTATCTTTCACTTTTTCTAAAATTGTACAAGTAATTTAAATTCAATATACACTCTTTTTGCCTTTTTTCGGCAAACCGATTTATTAATTCATTTATAACCTATACTTCGCTGAGCGTATCTATTATTTACGCAAAATGTTTTTCATTCCATGTACATTGTTGACAATCTCATTGTTTTGTATAAATAGACCGTAGGACAAAATCAATAAAAAATAAAATTATGGGGGTATTCTAGTG